TGTTTATAAACTTAATATACACCTAGTTATGCTAGGTGTATATTAAGTATATTATTTCACTCTTACTTTGCAGAATTATCTCATTAATACCCATCCACTAATTTTCTTATTCCAAGATCTTATTTAAAACTTAATTCATTTCAAATATATATTGACAATGTTCAAATAAAAAAATCAAAAGTTATAATTTCCTTAGTGTTTTCATTGATAAAAATCTAACTTGGAAAAACCATATCAAAATTTTGCGCAAAAAAGTTTCAAAAAATATTGGAGTAATGTATAAAGCGAGAAATTTTGTAAATAGACATTCATTAATTCAACTTTATCACTCGCTATTTCAATGACATATAAATTATGCAAATATCGCATGGGGGAGTACTCAAAAAAATCAATTAGATCCTCTATATCGGCAACAGAAGCATATAGCACGTTTAATAAACATTAAAGATCGTTATACTCAATGCAGACTTCTTTTAATGGAAATAAATGCTCTTAATATATACCAGCAAAATGTTTTTAATGTTCTTTTATTTATGTACAAACGTAAGATAAACCTAACCCTTATATACTTTCAAAATTTATATGCAATAAAACAAAAAAACAAATATGACTTAAGAAATGACAATCTTATTCATCAATATTTTTCTCTTACAAGTTTTGGAAGATATATATAACCCTGACGGAGCTCATTTGTGAAACAAAACTGTTTTGAAAAATTTTGATTTTTCTCAAAGTTAGAATTTTAAAATTAAGCTGAAAAAAGTTATCTTGTCAATTGATAATATCTTTGAGTTCATTTGAGTTTATACATTTTAAAAAAGTCTGTGATTCCTGAATATATTGTATTATTTTGAAATATTTAGTTTTATATACATTCTTTATGTTGTTAAACGTTGTTTTAAGTTTTGAAATATCTGGTTAGATTTAAATTTTATTTTTAAGCGTCATTTATTGTAATTATTTAACTGGTTATATTTTTACTGCATTGTTAAACGGTTCTCAGTGACAGGATCTTACGATCCTCTTTCAGTCTCCGTGTTCTGAAGAACAAGTCAAAAGAGAATCTAAACGTTTTCTATAACAAAAAAACTTTAATATTTTTTTTTAATGTTCCTAAAATAATTAAACCTGAAAAAGTCATCACTACTCATTAATTATTGTCGTGATGTGTATCGTATTTACTTCTCATTAAAATAAAATATATATACCATTATATATAAACAAACAAACAAAACAAAAAAACAAAAAAATATTTTTACGATTTATTACTTGTGTTTAATATATGTAGAACTAATATTGTATTTTTTTTTAAATAATTTTTAACTTGTAACTTTGTGACGTCGATGTAAACGGGGCTTGGCGATAAGGGAGTTTGTCTTCTTCTTGTATATATATATAACTATATAATTTTATATAGTTATATATATATATATATATATATATATATATATATATATCGTTTCTCCGAGCTGCCTTGTTCTGCCTTGTTCGTCAAGGTTTGTGTTTCGCAATTATAGAGTTGAGAAAAGGTTATAACCACAACTAAGAGCCTCCTTGTCTGTAGTAGCCTTCTCGGCCTTGGGTAGGTGAGCTATAAAACAAAAAACAAAAAAAAATTAATACATACCATTTACATAGCCTTTTTTTGAGTTTCTAATCAACATTAATGATCACCCTGAAAAACTCACAAAAAAGTAGCTTTATTTGTTGATAAAATTCCTATATTGATGAATGGCAAAATTGATAACAGATTCAACATTATTGACAGAAACATTTTTACTTAGGAGGTCATAATATACAGAGCGAATTTCCTGATTATATCTTTCTCCTTCAAAAACATCAATTATATTTTTTTCAAAATTGTTAACTCTTTCCTTTAGCTTTCTGAAAGGCTTTCAAAGTAATTCAAGCGTTGCTGTAAGATTGAATCATTTGTTTCATCAGTTGTTTTTGAAACAGTGCTTTTAAATTTTTTTCTTGAAATACCATGCTTTTTGTCGATCTGATTAGTAACGCTTTCTAGCCAAATCAATTTTTTTTTTAAACTTAAATTTATTTGCAACAATTGATAATTACAAAAATTAATTACAAATAAAATAATTGTAATTTGCAACAATTAATATTTACAAAAATTGTAATTGTGATATTTTGTTTCATAAAATTAAAATTAAAAAAAGTTTTTTTAAATTCTTGATATACTAGTTATTTGATAAATTTGATTTGACTAATAATTACATACCTATTTTTATCTTTTGGATCTAAAAAAATCTGAAAAAAAAAAAAATGATTTCCAACATTCTTTCCATTCTTGTTTACACAACTGATGGCTGAGCAAAAGGCTGGCATATTTAATATTGTGAGTATTTACAGAAAAAACAACTTAATTCTTGAAAAGCGAAATCTAATAATATTATAGAATATAATATATTTAGCAAACAACAGAGATGTATAGTAAATTTATGTTGTTTATAATATGGTCCCGCAGGACATCCCATAATTCAATGTACGGCCAGTTACACATAAATATATGGATTTTTAGTCGAGTTGGGAGGCTTTGCTGAAGTTCGACTTAAGCAAATGCGTGAACGAAACTTGAAAATTTCAAGATTGCGCTTGAGAAAGTCTAACTTTAAAAACTTAAAAGGCGTTAGTTTGAAGACGCAATCGGTAAAAAAAACTTTGCATCCAATAGCCGCAGAGTATTTGAAAAGGGAAAACCTTTTACATAAAGCAAAATAACTTTTTAAATAGCAAAATAAAGCAAAAATATACTTTTAAATAATATTTTTCAGCTTAATACTTTAAATTATTAACTTATAAAAATAAATTAAAAACTGTTACAAAAATGATAAATTTATTTTTTGTATTTTCATTAAAACTTGGTAATTTATCAAAAAACACTGGATTAAAATGAACATGCTTGTGCTACCTTCTATTTAGTCCAAGCCTTTAATTACGACGTAACAGCTAATAAACATTCAAATGGCATATATGCTACGCGGTTATCAGCAAAGCATATATGTCGAACACAAGGTTTTTATTACTCAATTTTTTTGTTAAAATTGAAAAAAAAAACTCTTACAAGGCTGCAAGCAGAAGCGAATCTGCATGAAGGAGGGGGAGGGGGGAGGGATTTTTAAAAAGCGCCGACTAACTTCATAAAAAAAGAATAGGTCCTCAGAACCTATTTTTGTTTCAACGCTTACCAAATTTGTAATGGAACAATTAGGTCAAAATGTGCATAGATTAGAGGCGGATCCAGCTTTTTATGGTCTTTGAAATAGCTAACCTCCGAATGCGAAGCAAGCTCCTAAGAATTATACTCTTGCATAATACAAGTTGTGTCATAAGTGTAGGTTACCATAATCACATGAGATATAAAAATATCTTACCGACTGAATGTTTTAAATCAAAATAGCAGCTTTCTTCAAGAACTAATACAAAAATTTAAAATAGACATTTTTTATACTGTTTAATAACCTTATCATAAAGAAAAGCAATATAATGAATAGCACATAACATCATTTAATACAAACATGTTCTTTTGAACGAGATTATGCCATTGTTACACAAATTTTATACCAAAACCCTGACGGAGATCATGAACATAAAGAAAGACAATATAATGAATAGTACTATTATTAATGTCATAATGTCGCTCAAAAGGACATTTTTGTTTTAAATGCAATTATTAATAGCATTTAATACAAACATGCTCTTTTGAACGACATTAATACACGAATTTAAAAATGAACTAAATAAGTATATATATATATATATATATATATATATATATATATATATATATATATATATATATATATATATATATATATATATATATATATATATATATATATATATATATATATATATATATATATATATATATGTATATATATATATATATATATACATACATATATATATATATATATTTTTTTTTTCTAAAAATAAAGAAAAGCAATACAACGAATAGCTCATAACAGCATTTAAAACAAAAATGTATTTTTGAATGACATTAAGCTGGCGCACGAAGCGATTTTTATGTTTTAATATGGTTTTAAATTACACGGAAATTGCGCATGCGTAAAAATTGTTCCAGGTCTGCGATTTTAGTAAGATCAGAATTGTACTTTTGAATTACAAGATATAGCACTAACCCAATAACCATTGCAACCCATAGAGCAAGCTTACATTGGACCAACATTGGGCCAATGCATGATGATGCATTGGCCCAACGTTGAAAGTCGATGTTGGCCCAATGCAGGTTTGATTATTGGTTAGGTATTGGCCCAATGTTGTGTACAACATTGGCCCAATGTTGTATATAACGTTAGGCCAACGTTGTATACAACATTGGCCCAACGTTGTATACAACATTGACCCAACGTTGTATACAAAATTGGCCTAACGTTGTATACAACATTGGCCCAATATCGTATATTATATATTGGCCTAACGTTTTATGCAACATTAGATCGTTGTTACAAATAAGATGATTTGCATCGCTACATTGAAATTTTATAGAGAAAAAAAAAAGTATGATACAAGTATAAAAATCTATTTATTTAACATAATTTATCGGTAAAATTTACATATTGCTAACACCAAACTTAAACCAAAAACTGACACATAGAGTTTTAAATAAAAAAATTCACTATAAGATTTATATAGTTTAGATATTGGCTGAGCTACTTGTTATTGAATAGTGTTTAGCTTAAGACATTTGGTGCCCACGATTATTATTTTTTCTTCCACTATCTCTATCACATGTCTGCATAAGCCATGCTTATTTGACTTCACAGTTTCTGCAAAAAAAAAAAAGTTGTTTGTTTAATTATGCACCAAAGAAACATAACAAATTGAAAGTAATTCTGTGATGCAAAATTGAAACTGAAAAAATAAACTTTTCTAAATCACTTACCAATAGCAGCATATGCAATCAACATTTTTTCTATTCCAATTTTTTGTCCTCTCCCTGCATAGTTTTTTTAAACTTTACAACTAGGCCATTTTAAAAAACTATTCTTAGCAAATAAAATATACAATCTCCTTTGTCTTTAACTCCGATTTGTGCCAAATAATTGACCTGCAAAAATACACAACTTGGCAATAATCAAAGTAACTTTTGTTTAGACTTAAATTAATATAAAATGTAATTTACAAAAAATCTTTAGAGAGTATTTTATTTAAAGTATATAAATTTTACTAAGATATCATACAAAATGCATAAAAAAATTATAAAAAAATATTTACCATTTACTTACGTATTTTTTTTTCTTCCAGAGTACTTGAATTCTTCACTGCAATGACACTCTTTCAGGCAATACAATAAATAGCATACCTTTGTTACTCAAATTTTTAAACTGAATTTGATGTGTTTTGTAGTTTACCAAGTTGTACTTCAATGACGACTAAGAATGAACACTAAGAAAAGCATAAGTTTCAGAAAAAATAAATGGGTAGCACCAAAAAAACATAATAGATTAATTGAGCGTTGTGTTTTGAAAATGTGACAAGTCACAAAATTAAAATTTTACAAGGGAGTGAAAAATACTTCTCCTGTAAAAAATTTTATTTTTATTTTATCTAAAAATTGTTTCTTTTTTCTAAAAAAATCTTTATTTTATCTAAAACAATCTTTATTTTATCTGAAACAATCTTTATTTTATCTAAAACAATCTTTATTTTATCTAAAAAAATCTTTATTTTATCTTAATATTCTTTTATTTTAAGTGAGGTTATTTGAAAAGAATATTTTTTCAAAAATATTCTTTTCAAATAACCTCACTTTTAAAAAAAGTGCGACTCATCACGTTTTCAAAATACAGCGTTCATTTGTGAAACGAGTAACTTCTTAACTAGAATTACTGATTTTTCCATGACTATCTAAAAAAAAAAATAATTTCCTGACTTTTCCAGGTTTTCCACGACTTTAGCCATTATTAACAAATTTTCCAGATTTTCAAGGTACAGTACGGACCTTGTCCAATGTTTGTAAATAATTTTTTTTACATATTTTAGTTCTGAATTTTAATAACACTATTTTTAAAAATAATATCATCTATAAAAATATTGTATTACCTTCGTCTATTAGATAAATTTAAATAAACGTTTATATAATGAATAATAATGAATCACCATCAACTGTTAACTATAAACTGATATGAATACTGATATAATACAAATACTGTTGTTTTTTTCAACATTTGATTTCAAATGGTTTTCAAAGTTGGTGACACCAACTTTGAAATCCAACAAGAAATATTTGTTACGTTCATAAACTTAAATGTTCTCAATTTATATATAAATAATATATATATATATATATATATATATATATATATATATATATATATATATATATATATATATATATATATATATATATAATATATATATATATATATAAATGTTCTCAATATATGAAAAAGTCTTTAAAATTGTAAAAGCTAGAGCTATGATTAAAGATTTTCAATCATCAGACATAAAGACTTTTATATAAAAACTTACCATTTAATAAATTTTGGTTCATTCAACTTCTCAGAGCAAACATTGAACTTCTGTAAAGAGTTTCGAGTTACAAGTAAATCCCAAAGTTTAATAATATTTTTTGTTTTATTATAAGAAATTGAGAATAAATCATCTACACCAAGATATACACAATTTTTTGTCTCTTTGTCATTTTCGCTGTCTTCCTTTTTTTTCTTCAGAGCAGAAGTTTAGCCTTCTGCTAAGTTTAATCTTGTATTGCTTTGAAAATCTATAAATCAAATCATTAATAATTAAGTTATAACTAAAGTTAATGTATAAGATTAAAGTTGTTAACTGTTGTACGCACACTAAATATATAAAATATCCAGAGATATTAAATTAAAAAATAATAAAACCAAGAATTATGTCCCTCTGCCTCAGAAAGATGGAATATATAAAGGGTTGTTTCGATTTAAATCATGACTTAAATCAGACAAATAAAAATAATGACTTAAATTGAGTTTTTTTATTTTAATTGTTTTTAATGGTAATCCTACAGTTACGCGGCCTAAAATAATTTTATTTTTCCGCTTGTCAGGCTTTACAAACAATAGGAATATAATTGAAATAATAAAGTGAAAAAAGATTGCTAGCCCATGCCAAACCCTCATTAGATGTAGCAGCACTTCCTTGTAGCAGCAGGCTATAAGATAGTTGATGTAGCAAAACCCCCTGGCACAACAAGCGCAAAAATATAATTATTTTAGGCTGCGTAACTGTAGCTTTACTGTTTTTAATGATTATTTATTGATTTAATCTCATAATTCAATTAATTATTATAGACTAGTAATTGGTCTTAAAATAAAATGTCTGGCAATATTAGAAAACTCTACATAAGTAGAATATAAATTCTAGTAACATCACTTTTTGTACAGTTTTAATATATTAGTAGATGGGCTTTCACAATCAAACACAGAAAAAATCAAACAAAAGAGTTATACTTAAAATGTAAAAAATCAGCTTCTAATAACTTCAATGCCACATATGTATTATTGATACCTTTAATAATATATTTTATAATAGCTATACAATCTAAACTATTATAAACAAATTATGAACAAAAAAAACTTATACTGTGTGACATTTAAAATTTTTGATTTACATAATAAAGAAGACATTTAAAATGTCTTCTTTGTTAAATAAATCGAACATTTGAAATGTTTCATTTAGTTAATAAAGATTATTAAATAAATCAAACATTTGAAATGCCAATACAGCAATAAAAATAAAAAAGATAACTTTAAGATCTTACACAAAAATAATTTGATTATTGCCTTCATTGTTACATTAATAATTTAGATTGTAGTAAAAAATGTTTTAAGCATTACGTTTAAATGTTAACAAATATTTCATTATTTAAAAAAACAAAACATTAAGTCACGAGAATCTCTTGAAATTTATTTCTTATAAAGAACCTTTTAAGATTCTTAGAAGATTAATAAATATACCTTCTTTTTTTTATTTTTATAATTTAAAAAAATGGAAAGACAATATCAAAACTTTTTTTTATTCTGTCAAGCGATGCCATTTTTAAAAATGTTTTGCAACAAATTTTAAAGTATATACTAATCCACAACTACATCGGCCGAATATTGGCTACGGTATAAATGTAAGAACAGCAAAATATTAGGCCCAAACTACATTGGCCAAATGTTGGCTCAACGAAGTACGATAATTGCAAAAATACGATTTGTAGAGTTGCAATATTACGCCGAAAAAAAAGCATTGGTTAAATGTTAGCCCAATATAGTACGGTATTTGCAAAAAACCGATTTGCAGAATTGAAAATAGTACGCCGAAAAAAAACATTGGCTAAATGTTGGCCCAACGGAATAAACTTGCCAATGTTAAAACTTACGTTGGGCTAATGTAAGCTTGCTGTCTGGAAAATTAGCAAAATAAGTTCACTTTAGTGTTATGGCATCTAAATTTCTTGATCCTAAAACCGATGTTGTTTTCAAAAAAATATTTGGCTCTAATCCAGAAGTGATTAAAAGTTTTTTAAATAATATACTACCTTTACTTCAAGATAATATGAATAAAGGCGTATCATGATCAGAAAGGAAGAATTTTTATAATTGAAATGCAAATTTTATGGGCAAAATATTTTGAAAAAAGGCTGTTATTTCGAGCATCCAAAGCATACGTAGAGCAATTATAGTCATCGAAAGGCTATGGTAACCTTTGCCCTGTATACGGAATAGGTATAGTTGACTGTATTTTTAAAAAAAATTCATCTGACTGGTTTCACCGCTACAAACATGTTAATGTTAACAATCCAAACAAAGTTTTAGAAGGAATCGAAATTACTTTGTTAGAATTACCTAAGTTTGAGCCTCAACTATGGGAGAAATGTGGAAGCATATGGAAATGAGGTATTTTTAAAAGTATAAAATCAAAAAACAAATCAAATTGCTCTTATTTTACTAAGACAAAATCTGCCTCTTGTCAAGAGGCAGATTTTGACAATATTTTTTTGACAATATTTTTTTCTAAAACATACTTAAGTCTTAAGTAAGTTTTAGAAAAAAATATTGTTAAGAAATAAATGTTGTAGTTTTTTGCCATTACCAATGACTTGCATTGATTATGGCAAAAAATGTATCAATATTTTTTGTTTATTTATGTAGTATTTATTCCTATTATTTTTGTAAAAAAAAAATAATAACAATAAATACAACAAGATTTCTTTAAACATACAAACTTTTTAATAAATAAAAACATGGCTGGACCAAGAACAAGATCAACTAAAAATATAAAAACACAATATGAAGACTTGTGCCTCCGGAATGATGATCCTGAACACCTTAAAAACGTTTGGATTGACAATGTCATTGGTAAGATATAGTAATTTTTTGGAGGTCAAGTTTTAGTTAGATAATTTTTATTTTATGTGTTATCTTGTATATTTTTTATATCTATATTTAGAAACTCATTTCTGGTTTTTTATTTAATAATTTTCCTTGGTTTTAAATAAGTATTTTATAAATTTTAATAAAGGCATTGCATCTGGAATAGGGATCTTGAAACATTTTTTGACTATAAATCAGTATTCATTTTTAGTCTTTGGTATCCAGGAATTCTAAAAATAAAATAACAAGCTGGACAACTTTTTTTATGACAATGTTGTATATAAATATACATACAAATATATGTAGGTATGTACACAAATGTTTGTATATATGTATATGTGCACACAAATATATGTATATATGTACACAAGTATATGTATATATGTATATAATGTACAAAAAATAATGTACACAAATATATGTATATATTGTACACAAATATATGTATATATTGTACACAAATATATGTATATATATATATATATATATATATATATATATATATATATATATATATATATATATATATATATATATATATATATATATATATATATATATACATATATATAAATATATATATATATATACATAAAACAAAAGGCTTGTAATAAACAATAATACAAAACGCTTATAATAATACAAGACGCTTGTACAAAAAACAGTGCTCGTTATTATGATAATAGAGCAACATATATATATTTTATTTAAATAAAGAAAAACAACATTATAATAGTACTTAAAGTTTCGTGCCTTTCGGCAATCATCAGCTATTAATTACAAACTAAAAACGTAAATTAACGTTTAAAAAACGAATCAAAATTTTACGGTAGAACGAGTTCTGACGTACATTAAAAAGGCGCAATCATTTAATCTCCAGCGTTGCGTTAAAAAAGTTAGCCGTTAAAAAAGTTTACAAAATGTGAACTCTGCGCGTGCGCAACATAATTTAAACTTTTTTAACGCATGTAGGCGTTAAAAAAGTTTTAAAAATGGCAGCGCAAACCTTGCAAATATGCAAAATATTTGAGCGATAAGTAAGATGTACAAAACATGAACAAATATTTATGATTTAATTTTTATATTTTTATTGTTTTTCTATATTATTTAAATTTTTATTTTGTTTCTAATTATTAAAGCCGATCGCTATAGCCACTTTGCTAAAACTGCTAGCTACTCCTAAAAACGATTAAATACACTCCTGCTAAACTGATTACTACAACTAGCTAACTACCTAGCTTATACCAGCTGGTATTGCTAGAAGTGCTAAATGTGGAGGAACGTGATATTTCTAGATTAAACGCGGAAATATTTTATTAGAAGTCCGACTGATTCGAGATATATCAGCTCATATATCAAGTCAATTTAAAAATCAAAACTATTGATTTATTCAGCCAATTCCACTGTTATTTGTGTGTGTGTGTGTGTGTGTGTGTGTTTGTGTATAGAAAGTGAAGTGGAGTTGAGAATTTCATAACTTCCTTTATAGAGTTACTTTTCAATCATTTATTACCGCAATTAAAATGGGGATGAAAGCCAACTTCGACAAGAAGCCATGAAAGCCAAATACATAGAAAAAAACTAATTAAAGACTAGGGTAAAACACCCAGTGTTCGCTAGGTGTTCCAGTCGTCGCCAGTTTTCCAATAAAAAACATGCATGTCAAAAACTATTTGGTTGAAAGTGCCGAAATAGTGTCTAGAGTGAACGCCCATCATTGCTTTATATTTGACGAAAGTTTGACAATCGTAACTAAATAAATAAACTCTCAGGATTTTCTTGAAAGAAAGTGTGTCACAAAAAAACCTTAATCCTTAAAATTTTTTTTCAGAAATCTTTTTAAACAATTACATAAAAAACATATTAAATATCAATTCAATTTCACTTTTTTTATTCCAGATTGATGGGAAGAACAAGGAGAAGATTGTACCAGGGCTATTCTTGAAAAAAAAGAAAGGGGACAGGGTTAGGGGGGTGGCGAAAACTGGAACACATAATAGTACCTAGTCCAGTCTTCGCCAAGTAAATTTTTTTAAAGTGGTGTATATGGGCTTAATGGTAAAATATGGACTTTGACCCATATGCCAGTCTTCGTTAGGTTGAATTCGTTTAAAAACAAAAAAGTTATAGGCGTTTTAAATTTGTCCAGTGTTCGCCACCCCCCTTTTGCCAGTGTTCGCCATCGGGAACAAATGATTATTTTTTATTAAATGTATAAATATAGCTAAGTATTTATTTTTTATTTCAAAAGTAGGCTATCTGTTAACCTAGTTATTAAACAATACTAAAGCAGTCCAAATAGGGCTATATAACTATATTAAATTAATTTATATAACAAGTTAAGACTTATAATAAATAGTTTCAATAAGTACCTAGGTACATAATATCCATTTAGAATTATGAATACTAGTAAATCAAAGTCCAATAAGGGTTCACGTATGTCTACAAGAGATTCTTACACTGAGGAGGACATTAGAAAGGCAATTGAAGAAGTAAAAAGGTAATAAAATTAGCATGCATTAATAGATATAATTTCAATGCTTAAATTGCTTATTGTGTAGTCATAATAGCCTAATGCCTATAATACATTTAAAAGAAATACATAGGGTAGGGCTGCCTAGTACTGATAAAGTAGTTGCATACCTAAATTATACTGTGCTATATTTCAGTGGTGAAAGAACTGCTTCAGAGGCATCCAAGTTGTACAATATCCCGCGCACCACATTGAGGGACAAAATAAGTGGTAAAGCGCCTGTTGTAAAAAATATGGGCCCACAAACCTACCTCACTGAAGCAGAAGAAAATGTTTTGGTGAATTTTATTGTTAGCGCACAGAAACGTGCCCACCCTGTTACCAAAGAAACCATTATGTCATTGGTAACTAGTCTTCTTTCGGATGAAAGGTTACTTATGGAAGTAAATAAAAACCGTCCCTTTCAATTTGGAAGATCAGGGACTCGACAGCCAGAGAATAAATGGTCAGGGTTAGTGGTAAGTAGGTTGTGCCTAATTTATAAAAGTTGACCTATAGGTAATTAAAATAAAAAAAAATGTTATAATTTTAATAACGAGTCATAAGATTTTTCATTACAAATTAACTTTATAAAACATTTGTAGCTTAATAAATAAAGCTTATAACAATTGATACAGACATAAAATTAGTCTAATAGAAATAGCCTATACCTAGTCGACTAATTTAGCCATTATTTTCTAAGGTATAAGCTATTTCTGTCGAGGCATCCTAACATAGTTGCTCGCATGACTGAATCATTAAGTGCGAATAGAAGAAATGTCTCACAAGCTGTCAAACAACAATGGTTTGCTGATATAAGATTGTACCTCTCTGAACATGACCTTCTTGAAATCCTTCAGGAACCCCAGCGTAACTATAACATCGACGAGTCGGGGTTCCAGTTTTCACCCAAGGTTTCTAAAGTTTTAGCTGCTAAGGGTTCTAAAAATGTACCGTATGCGACATCTTCAAAAGAAAAGGAAAGAATCACTGTTCTAGGTACATTTTCATTTTATTCTTTGCTCATTTTTATGTTATTTCTGTAATGCTTTTCTTTTAATGCTGCACTATAAATTGCTTTTTTTTCAACATATCTCTGAGCATGATAGCTTAGCATGATACTAGCTTGGCCTGCTTGCTAACTTTTGGTTTTTTTGCACTTTTCTTTGCAGCTAACGTTGGTGCCGATGGCTCTCTCCCTCCACCGCTTATAATTTATCCTAACCTTCGTATTCCTATGAATGTATACGAAGCCATTCCATCCAGTTTATTTGCAATCGGAAAAAGTGAATCGGGATATATTAACCATCAGGTGCTTTATGAGTATCTCACTAATGCATTTGACCAATGGTTAACTCAACATAATATACAAAGACCAGTTATAGTTTGGTCCGACAAACATGAATCGAGACTGCAATTTCATTTAGTTAAAACCTTAGCAGACCTGCAAATAATGCTTATATTGATCCCACCAAACTGTACCCATTTCATGCAGCCTTTGGACGTAGGATTGTTTGGCCCTATGAAAAATGAATGGGCTAAGTGTGTGAATAGGTTGTCAGGGCTGCCAACCCAAATGAATACGTTACCAAGGAGTCCTTTGCAGGAATGTTCCTGCCAGTGTACACAAGGGTCATGAGTAGAGAGAAAATAGTAAAATCCTTTAAAAAATGTGGCATACAGCCATTTGATCAAGACATCATCTCTGATAATAGTAATAGAAATAGATAATAGTAACAGAAAATAGTAAAATCCTTTAAAAAATGTGGCATACAGCCATTTGATCCAGACATCACCTCTGACATCATCTTGTCTGGTAACACAAGTACTAGCACGATGGAAGGACTGGGAGCAGGCCCAAACATTCACCTGTAAGTGATAGCTAGCTATTAGTGTCTAACATTTGTATCAATATAAAATAATAAGCCCAGCTAGCTAGTTAGCAGCTATTATAAACCAATTTTTATTTATAGCTATTACAGGGTAATAAAAGTTAGTAAAAATTATAAACTAATTTTTATCTATATTACAGGGTAATAAAAGTAAGTAACTATTATAAAACAATTCTTATTTATATTACAGGATAACAAAATCATTTGATGACTTTGTCATCGATTCGCCACGATTTGATTCACTCAGAATGGTGAAGAGGCAAAATTGGTTCCAATTTGTCTTTGATCGAAATCATCGGCAAGAGGATGCACCAGCTGTTGATTTCCTTGTTGTTTCCCCTGTTCATTCATTTAGTATTCATTCAAGTTCAGACGCACAGTGTTCCTCAATGTCAGCCCCTCCAAACAGGACTAGGCCTATGTTGGTAGAACCTCAAAGACAAGCAAGACCACCTGCGATTAGTCCTGCTCTTAAAAATCATAAGTGGTTCCCTTCTCCAAAAAAAGCTATCGGTTAGTGTATTAACTAGGCTACCTATATTTTAAATTTATTATTATAATTTCCATTTTTAATCTCTGTAAAATTACCACATGTAGCCTATGGTCATAAATTTACTTTATTATAACCTGATTATTATTTTAATTTTCATAGGAAAGGTTCGTACAGTGGCTCAAGAACTTCATGCCACATCTGTAGTGACTTCAGATAAAGTTGTCTCGATGCTAGAAGGTATTAGGCTTGAAAAAAAAAAACAAGAACAAGCAAAAGAGGAGAGAAAAACGAAGCGCTTAGTTGCTGAATTAGCTAAACGCAACAAGCCAAGTGTTCCAGCTAAAAGAAGGTTGCTGCCAGCAACAAAAATGGCAAAGAAGAAACCAAAAAAATTTTCCATTACATAAAAAAATTATTCAACAATTATTTAAATATATTTTTAATACCAAATAACTAAAAAAAAGAACTTATTTTTTAAAAAGTCTGAGGGTGGCGAACACTGGAACAGGTTCAAAATATTGCCTGGCGAATACGGGGACCGTTCCAGTGTCCGCCACTTTCAACTTTCGGGGGCTATAGCCCCCTTATTAATTATCGGAGGTCATTCGTTCTAAGTACAGCGTATAGCCCAACTATCTATCTGTACGATAAATATTTAAGATATCATTTATTGAAAAACGAGTGAGAAAAAAATATTTTAGTGAGGGTAGAAAAAAGTGGCGAATACTGGGTGTTTTACCCTATTCAAAGTATTTTTTAACAATACAACTTTGATAAAAATTAATTTTTTCAATTATAAAATGTATAATTTGAAAAAAAATTAACTTTGAATAATCTTTAAACTTTAAAAACATTAAACTTAAATAATCTTTTGAGTTTTAATTTCTTAAAAAACAAGAAATATAAGACGTCTAGAGATAAACGTATTTAACAAACAGTTAAATTTAAAATAATTTAAAAAAATTTTTAAATTAGAGTAACTTCCTAGACACTCTATTAAAAACAATTAAAAGACATAAAATAAATTATTATAAATAAATATCATTATTAGCACAACAATGGCTAAAATATTGAACAAAGCATAATACAGTAGCACAAGGTTGCTTATCTAGACATAAAAAAAAGTTTTGTTACCATTAAACCAAATTAATCTTACCTTGTATTTTGTAGAGTTCTAGATTTTACCTGTTGGCTTATGATTAATATAGCAAATTTCAAATCATAAAAATTTACTAAATTAAAACCATGTTTCAACAGTACACCAGCTTAAATAATAAAAATGGTAGGTAAAAATAAGAATATATCTTTCAATTCAAAAGAAATATAATATCCTTTAAACTTATAACTATTATAAAAAATAATTATATAAAAACTTTACGTTCAAGATGTGAGAAAATGAGCAAAAATATTTTTTTATTGTTGCAAGATATAAATCAAGAAACTTTTTTTTTTATAAACTTGTAAAATAATTAAACAAGATTAACTAATTTCAGAAATATATATATTATCAACAAAAATCAGTTTTATACTTTCATTTGAATGCATCAAAAAGAAAATAGATCTTCTTTCTATCACAAAAGCATCTATAAATAAATTTATTTTTTTTAAATTTTTTGACAGTATCATACATATGCAAATAGTCATTTAAAAAATCATAAATATAATAATATATCCTAGCTTAAAATTATCCCAAAGCACAATGACAGGCATCATTACAAAGAAAGGATAAAGCGCGTCTTTTAAGTCCATTTAATATGGTTATATAAGGAAACATTTCAAGTTTACCTTTTTTAATACACATTAGAAAATGTTTTCTCATACTTTTCTTTTCCCAGACAGTTAAACTTGCATCAATTCCATTACATAGAGCTGTAGCATTTGCAACAGCATAAAGACCACAGTCATTCCCATTATCTTAGGTCTGGCAGTTCATAACATCAAAACTTATAGAGTTAACATCTTCACAAATCAATAATGATTGAGCAACACGATGCAGAAGTAATAAAACATTTTCTTTTGAACTGGTAAAAAGAGAATCATAATATTGAACTGATGATTTTAAACATGTATCAGATGACACATTACTTATCAGTATCCAATGTGAATTTCTGACTTTGAGTATTTGAATAAATTTTCCTGAAGGGATGTAACCCCCTGAATTGTTTTTATTAAAAATACACAAACTTTGAAATCCGGCAATATGAGGAAATTAAGATGATAGGAAGCTTTGGGCTATATCTATTAATGCATCATTTAACCAACCACATGGGTTTTTTAAAATATCGAGGCCTAATTTAACTGACTGTGTTGATAAGTTTAAAAAAAATTTATTGTTAACAGAAATTGCAGCTTGTTTTCATGATCTTCTTAGACATTTAAATTTTTATTTTTTTTCACTAAAAATACAAAATATATATAAAGTACATGTTCACATAAACATATAATTGTTTTTTGTCATTAATCAAATTAATTAAAACTTAGATGAATTGGCTTTTTTCCTTAAGGAATAGCTATATTAAACCAATTACCAATTAAAACAAATGTAGTTGTAAACAAAAGTTTCATTACCATTATGCCCTATGCCATTATACCATTATGCATTATACAAATGAGTTATTTTATCAAATTTAGTAGATTAGTTGACAAAAGCAGATAAATAAAGTTAATTAAGTGTCACTTAATGTTGGAATGATGTCATGAAGTATATATAAATATATATATATATATATATATATATATATATATATATATATATATATATATATATATATATATATACATATATATATATATATATTACTTTATCGATAAAATTTAATGTATTATTTTATGTATTTAATATAATAAATTTTTAAAAAATTTAAGTAAATTTTATTTTTTTAACAATGTCAATTTAATAACCTGTTTTTATTTACTTGTTTGATAGATTTTTTAATTTCACTAGGTAGGGAGTTCCAGAAATGAATTGAATGATTTTTTATTGATTTAATACCATACTTATATGATGAGATCGTTAAGTTATTGCAAGACACTGGTTTAAGATTGTGGTTGTGAATATTACCAGTAAACTTGAAATAATTGTTGTTGATATATATATACATAATTTTATTTTAAGACTTTTATATTTTAATATTGTTTTATATTTTGTAATGTTTTATATTTTTATTTAATGAGTTATATATTTTATATTAGAAGACTAGAAATTAAAAAATATTTTTATATTAGTTTTATATTTATGTTAGAGATTTATTGGATTCCAATATTAATGAGTATAACAAAAGGGTGTGAAGAAAGTTAAGTTTTATTGAAATATTAGGTAATAGTACTTGATAATAGAGTATATAGTATTGATATAAATATAAGTATATTGGTTTTAAATATAAGTAAAATTTGTAATGTAACTGTACTGCTTAAGGATAAATACAAGTGATAAAATAGTATAAATAAGATAATAACTAGTGATATATAATAAGTATATATAATATGATATATAATAAGATAATAACTAGTGATAAATAAGATAATAACTACAAAATAATAAGTGATAAAATAATATTAATAAGTGATAAAATAATATAATATAATAGGTGATAAAATTTAGTAAATAACGACAAGGTAATGCTTATATATATATATATATATATATATATATATATATATATATATATATATATATATATATATATATATATATATATATATATATATATATATATATATATATATATTATATATATATATATATATATATATATATATATATATATATATATATTTATATATATATATGTATATATTTATATATATATCTATATATATATCTATATATATATAGATATATATATAAATATATACATATATATATATAATATATATATATAATATATATATATATATATATATATATATATATATATATATATATATATGTATTTATGTATATATTTATATGCATATATATATATATATATATATATATATATATATATATATAATATATATATATATATATGTATTTATGTATATATTTATCTATATATGTATTTATGTATATATTTATATGCATATATATATATATATATATATATATACATATATATATATAGATATATATATAGATATATATATAAATATATACATATATATATAAATATATATATATATATATTTATATATATATATGTATATATTTATATATATATTTATATATATATCTATATAAGTTTTTTAACATCTATATCTATATAAGTTTTTTAACAATATGATGGAATGGAAGCTCGTTAATGTAAAGGCAGCAAAAAGATCTAAAAAGTTTTCGATTGAGAAGTTCTTCCACAGAATAAATCATTCCACCTTTCTATCCAGACATTTCATTTGTAGTATCACTGCCAATTGGAGATTAAGATCTTTACCTCTTAACCAGTTGAATAATCCAATAGTACATTGCTTGGCTGGTTTAGATGTTTCTGACTTAGGCTTTGGTGTATAATGAGTAAGGTCTCTAGGTTCTTCTGTATATGATTTTCTTTGATAAATTTTTTTCTGAAGGTGCCTGTGGTTTTATCATAGATAAGAATTAAAGTTTTGTCTTTTCTACCATCAACAAAAATTCCAGTGATTATATTTTTTTCACAGTCGAAATTTTCTTCTATTCTGGAATACTTCATAGCAAGCTCTTTAGCACGAAAACCTTTCATGCTATCACATATAAGATTTTTTTAAGTTTCCCTGCTTTCATAATATCTTTGTTTCCCTGTTTTCATAATATCTTTGTTTCAGGGTTTCCCTGGTTTCCTTCCATACGAGTTTCCCTGCTTTCATAATATCTTTGAGTAGACCATTAATGGTTGCAGCAGTAGCAGTCGATGATGCACCAAATCTAACAGAAGCAACGGCAGCATTACTAATATCAAGGTAGTTTCGCTTAACATAATTATCTTGCTTTTCTATGGTTGAGTCCTCTTTGCTATCACTGACTTTTTCACTATCACTAACTTTATCGATATCACTGACTTCTTTACCATCACTGACTATCACATCATTTGAATTATTATGCATTTCTATTGTAACATCCACATTTTCAACATCAAATCTAACAGCCGGTGGATAAAATGTTTCTAGTGACTCTAACTTAGATTTTGAAGCTTCTCGTTGTCGTGCGAGTCTTGCTTGATCGATTGACTTGCGTAAGTGTTTTAACCTAAGTTTGGCAGTCTCTTTAACATCCAAACTAAATTCTTGCATAGATAAAATACTGCCTTGTTTTTCTCGCTGGTTTTTTATCCAAATAAGCTCTTTTTGAGGAATTCTTAAATTTAAGTCACATTTGCAAAGGCAATGAGCACCGCTATCACAAGATTCTTTGCAAGGGGAATCATTTTCACTGCAGTAAACAATTCTGCATTTGCAAAGAGCAATATCTAAAAGTTTATCAAGCTTAGGCTCCCAGTGTTTTATGTAAGATTTTTGAGATTTGTTTCGAGCTATCTTAGAGAATGCAGACCAACTTAGTGTTATTCCTTTTGTTACACAAACTATGGGTTCTTTAAACTCTGTGTTGGAAATAAGCCATCGTTCTGCAACCTCATAAGCAACATTAGAAAAAAATTTTTGCATTGATAAATTCTGTCTCGCTGCAGATCCAGACAACGCTGTAAACAGTAACGTAAGGTTGGAAATTCAGTTTGGAAGAACTTTCTAGGACCTCCAAGATACCCACTTAGTTTGGTGTTAATCGATTTTCTGGTTTTCTTGCTAACTAATAACGCCATTTTTCTTTTTTTAATATATTATGAGTCTGAAAGATATAAAGGCAGCAATAACAGCAATTAATTTGAATTTAAATTTAAATAGTATTTATAATATTTATAAGGTATATTTGTATATTAACTGATACTTATACATAAAATAATTTAAAAAAAAACTCAAAACATATTATCAAAATTAGGCATAGGAATAAACAGTATTTTAAATAATTATTATGTACATTTATAGCATAAATAATCATTAATTAGAAAAAAACACAATATTTTTGGAAAATTGAAAACGTTTTCCCGGTAGCAAGACTTGTTTTTTCACTAAAAAAAATTATACCATTCAACTCAGAGTATATGAATACATAGGAAAAGTGATGTACTGAATGAAATTCATAACATGCAAAAGTATGATATACCCTAATAAATATTTATGTATATATATATATGTTGTGTATATGTATTTATGTATATATTTATATGCATATATATATATATATATATATATATATATATATATATATATATATATATATATATATACATATATATATATAGATATATATATAGATATATATATAAATATATACATATATATATATAAATATATATATATATATATATTTATATATATATATATATGTATATATTTATATATATATCTATATATATATCTATATATATATATGTATATATATATATATATATATATATATATATATATATATATATATATATATATATATATATATATATATATATGCATATAAATATATACATAAATACATATACACAACATATATATATATACATAAATATTTATTAGGGTATATCATACTTTTGCATGTTATGAATTTCATTCAGTACATCACTTTTCCTATGTATTCATATACTCTGAGTTGAATGGTATAATTTTTTTTAGTGAAAAAACAAGTCTTGCTACCGGGAAAACGTTTTCAATTTTCCAAAAATATTGTGTTTTTTTCTAATTAATGATTATTTATGCTATAAATGTACATAATAATTATTTAAAATACTGTTTATTCCTATGCCTAATTTTGATAATATGTTTTGAGTTTTTTTTTAAATTATTTTATGTATAAGTATCAGTTAATATACAAATATACCTTATAAATATTATAAATACTATTTAAATTTAAATTCAAATTAATTGCTGTTATTGCTGCCTTTATATCTTTCAGACTCATAATATATTAAAAAAAGAAAAATGGCGTTATTAGTTAGCAAGAAAACCAGAAAATCGATTAACACCAAACTAAGTGGGTATCTTGGAGGTCCTAGAAAGTTCTTCCAAACTGAATTTCCAACCTTACGTTACTGTTTACAGCGTTGTCTGGATCTGCAGCGAGACAGAATTTATCAATGCAAAAATTTTTTTCTAATGTTGCTTATGAGGTTGCAGAACGATGGCTTATTTCCAACACAGAGTTTAAAGAACCCATAGTTTGTGTAACAAAAGGAATAACACTAAGTTGGTCTGCATTCTCTAAGATAGCTCGAAACAAATCTCAAAAATCTTACATAAAACACTGGGAGCCTAAGCTTGATAAACTTTTAGATATTGCTCTTTGCAAATGCAGAATTGTTTACTGCAGTGAAAATGATTCCCCTTGCAAAGAATCTTGTGATAGCGGTGCTCATTGCCTTTGCAAATGTGACTTAAATTTAAGAATTCCTCAAAAAGAGCTTATTTGGATAAAAAACCAGCGAGAAAAACAAGGCAGTATTTTATCTATGCAAGAATTTAGTTTGGATGTTAAAGAGACTGCCAAACTTAGGTTAAAACACTTACGCAAGTCAATCGATCAAGCAAGACTCGCACGACAACGAGAAGCTTCAAAATCTAAGTTAGAGTCACTAGAAACATTTTATCCACCGGCTGTTAGATTTGATGTTGAAAATGTGGATGTTACAATAGAAATGCATAATAATTCAAATGATGTGATAGTCAGTGATGGTAAAGAAGTCAGTGATATCGATAAAGTTAGTGATAGTGAAAAAGTCAGTGATAGCAAAGAGGACTCAACCATAGAAAAGCAAGATAATTATGTTAAGCGAAACTACCTTGATATTAGTAATGCTGCCGTTGCTTCTGTTAGATTTGGTGCATCATCGACTGCTACTGCTGCAACCATTAATGGTCTACTCAAAGATATTATGAAAGCAGGGAAACTCGTATGGAAGGAAACCAGGGAAACCCTGAAACAAAGATATTATGAAAACAGGGAAACAAAGATATTATGAAAGCAGGGAAACTTAAAAAAATCTTATATGTGATAGCATGAAAGGTTTTCGTGCTAAAGAGCTTGCTATGAAGTATTCCAGAATAGAAGAAAATTTCGACTGTGAAAAAAATATAATCACTGGAATTTTTGTTGATGGTAGAAAAGACAAAACTTTAATTCTTATCTATGATAAAACCACAGGCACCTTCAGAAAAAAATTTATCAAAGAAAATCATATACAGAAGAACCTAGAGACCTTACTCATTATACACCAAAGCCTAAGTCAGAA